GATGTTGGAGGAACATCACCCTTGAATACCCATTTATCTTCTTGTTTCAGCATCCCCATATGATGCAAAGAAGATTTCTCAATCTTGTTTGAGGCATGGAGAATTATCTTTTTCTCCCCTTAAAGATCTACTCCTGCCTTCTCAAACATTCTTGACAGCAATAAAGCATAGGGTATAGGACCATCCTCCTTTCTCCTAGCCTTCCAGATACAGTCATTTACAACAGATACCCAGTCTATCTTTTCCTTTTTCTTAATTACATGCATTAAAAAATATGATCTCTAGACATATGAGCATGATTATGAAGGCTAGGTTTAAGCATCCATGAAATTATAAAAGAAATTAACCTAGAGTTTTTCTTCATACCTCCAACCAGAAATTTGTGGTCTTTGGATTTCTTTGACAATCCCTAAAGGTTGTCAGCTCTTCAAAGTCACCAAAATTGAAAGGTTGGGGCTTCATACTTACTGTTCCATTCAGCCCAACAACTTCTTTCAAAGTTGGTCCATCAAGCTTTTGAGCTTTCCTTTCCCCACTGATTGCATTATTCCTCCGTTGCTCGAGGAGAAGCACAAAAATAGCCTAAGAAGGTCAGGGTAATATGGACCTTCCAGCTCCAAGAACTTCCCAAGCTCTTGATGCTCCAAGAGAGGAGGAAAACTGAAACCCTCACTCTTGAACCACTCTAACTTCAAAGTCTTTGGAGGAATGATTCTCCTACCCACATACCACTCAAAGTAGTAGTCTTGGGTTTCTTTGTCAACAAACCTTCACAGCACCTGTCTCTGTCGCTTGGTTTGTATTCTTGTTTTTTTTCTTCCCCTTGAAATTGAATATTTCATCAATGCAAGCGTTTTCGTCTGCGTCTCCCATTCCTCTTTGGAGTAGATGAATGTAAAGGTTTTGGAGATGTCAGGTCCCGAGGTTCGAACCCTAAACCTGCTACACCACAGTAAGCAATTGCTTTTGCTATTATATATAAACCCAAATCCTTTAATCAATAGTAATTCAATTTGTTTTTTAACTATTTTTTTATCTATAACATCCATAATCTATCTATAATTTATAATGATATATAAAGGATATTTTTCCTTCAATTATATTTAATTTTCATTTATTTTATCTTTCACAATTTCTTTAAAAAAATAAGTTAACTTATTTATATTTATATTTTTTATTTTGTGTTTTGGTCTTTTAACTTCTTTAAATAATTGCAAATTACATTTTTTTTATAAATAAAAATCTCTCACTCTTCACACAATTGTATTTTTCTCTCTCCTTTCATCTCTTTTTGTACCTAATTACTTTTAAAGTTTTTATTTTTAATAATAAATAAATAAAAATATAAAACATTTTGACTCCATTTATATATAATAATAATAATAATATAATCAATTTATGTTGAAATTGGATAGAATAATTTTAAATTTTAAGAACTTCAATTGTTTTAATATATTCTTTTTCATTTTTAAATTTTCTTGTATATAGAAATTAAATTTCTTCAATCTCAAAATCTCGTGTTTTGAATAAAATAATTAAATTTCTTTATTTTTAAATTTTTTATTTTGCTTAATTAACTAAATTGTTCAAGTGAATTTTAGAAGTCTCAAGAATCTTAAATTTTTAAAATTTCAATTGAAATTTCTACAATTATAAAAAAAAATTATAAAGAAATTAAAAATCAATTGAT